AAAACGATGGTGCAAATGGTGTTGGAGGGCGGAGGCGATGGGCAACATGGCAAGGAATTCACATAAATTTGAAAATCATCTAAATTTAATGATTTTTTAATGAATCAAATTGAACTAGACGGTGAATTCTATTATTTTAAATTTTAGCTTTTAAATTTTTTTTTTTAGTTCAAGGGGCTTTTGTTTTACTAAAAAAGAAATGCATTGTAAAAAAGAATGCAATGTCAAATAAATATAGTGTATTTGAAATGTTTGAAGTTGTTTGAATGAATGTAAATGAAATAAAAAAAAAACTATTTTTTGTTTGAAAATATAAATGTAATGTAAAATAAAATGATGATGGTGATCAACGACGGTCGATGGTGGCAGTCATAGTGAAGGAGATTGTTGGCTGCAGCAATGGCCAGCAATAGATGATATCATGCGGCAGACTCTGACAACACAGTCAGCTTGTGATGTAAAAAAAAAATTGATTAAAATTAAATTAGACAAGTTTACAATTTATAAATATATGAACAAAGTGGTGAAAAATAAATTACACAATATTTCTTTTTCGTTAAATAAAACACTCCTTTCCAAAATCCCTTTTTTTTTCCTTTTAATCAGCATTCCATTTTCAAAAATCAAATATTTCCTAAATCAAATATTTACTATTTTTTATTCTTATATTTAAAATATTTTATCCTCATTCTACTTCAAATCAACACATAATTTAAATATATATATATAATAAAACAAAATTAACCTACCGGATTTTGACTTGCTCTGCTCCATAAGAATCTACAACGAATCGTTTATTATTATTATTTTGGGAGATTTATATACATACCACTCTATATTATTCTATTTACATATTTAACACCTGAAGTTTTAATATTACATACATATCACCCATAGTTCATTTTTATATCAAATATGAGTGGCAGAAATGAAATATATGAGTGGTAGGAAGGAAATATGAATGACATATTTGATATTAAAATAATATAGGATGGTATGTATGTAATATTAAAGTTTTAGATATTATATATGTAAATAAAATATTATAAAGTGGTATGTATGTAAATTTTAAATAAATGGGCGGCGATAATAATCATGGAAGCAGCAATGGGAATGGGTAATGATTGACGTATTCTTATTCTGCCAATCTGTTGAGAAACTTCGATATATTCCTCTGTTCGTTTTATCCGCGGGCTCTACGGAGCTATTTTTTAAATGAAAGGGAAATAAATATATAATATATTCAAATAAATCAAAAAGATTATATATTTATATCTGAATAAAATTAGAAAGGGTATAGGAAAGTATAGGGAGAGGTGGAGATTTGTTGAATGGCTATTGGAAGTACAAAATATTTATTATTTTTATTATTGGGGAAAAAAATAAGCAAAGAACTATAAATCAATATCAGTGTAAATTTTATTTAAATTAGAGAAAAAAGATAGTGTAATTTAATTTAAGATAAGTTTATAGCCATAACAATACCAATATTATCCAACACAAATGAATTTTATTCGAAAAAATATTTAATATATATCAAACGTCATTCGAATAAAAATTCAAACTAAATTTGAATTAAATTTGAAATATAAAATGGTTTAAATCAATTTCATTTGTGTTGTCCTTTGAATGAGTAGTCCACCTAAAAATTTTATATTTTGATAGCAACAACAACATCAAGCCTTTATCCTAAATTTGATAATAGCAATTAAACATTTTGAGTTGATAGAGTGTATATTTTACATATTCCTATTGTGCAAAGATTCAACACGCAGATGAAAGTAGTAAGATCAGAAAAATTTTTACGTGAAAATTCTTAAAAAGAAAAAAAATCACGGGGCTTGACCCAACTGTAAAATTTACCGTATAGCAAGTGATACAAAAATCTACTTTTTTTCACTGTTGAAGAAAGGGAGAGTATAAATATCAAATGTCCATAGGGCAGTTTATGCCTGACAAGAGGGTTACAAAAGGACAACCTATACATAGCAATACAGCTTAATTTTTCTAATAGGGATTATAGAAATAGATGTTCACATGAGAGCAAAAATACCCAATAGTAGGGTCAAATCTTATTAGTATTCAGGAGATTGTGGTGATTTCTAATGTCAATCTTCAATAGCGATGATGTTTGTTGGTAACGATAGATGGTGGTGATTTTCAAGGTCGATGGCTAGAAAATACAAAAGAGTCTCTTTTGAAGAGCTCTTTCTCCTATTTTCTCCCCCTCTCATGTGAATAATTAGAGTCTATTTATAGGTTTTTGAAAATGACATGCTCTATAAATATGAAAATTAAATTTGGGACCATCCGAATTACAATCTTAGTGAACTTATAATCAAACTAAATGTCTTGACAAGGCGAACTCAATGACACCCAAATTAATCCAATATGAGTTCAAATCAAGGGACCGAAGTATATTTGGAAGCTTCAAATTATTAACTGGATTATCAAATAATCTTCAAGTATTGCATACTTATAGTCGAATCAAGCGGCTCGACAAGAAGAATCCAACGAGCCCAATATCACTTAATTCTAACATAATTAAACTCTATATATGTTCGAAGGAATAAATTTTGATTGTTTGATGGAGCACTCCAAATTTGACCTAGATTTTTTCTATATTTACTGAGTATGTCATTTTCAAAAACCTATAAATAGGCTATTATTCCTCATATGTCATGTGGTGGAAGGAGGAGAAAAACAACTATAGAGAGAACTATCTTACATTTTTCAGCTATCGTTGTTGACGATCACCGCCAGCTATCACCATCGACAACCATCATGGCCATCGAAGACTGGCATTAAAAATCACCACCATCTCTAAAATACTGATAAGACCTAATCCTGCTGTTAGATATATATTTTTTTCTATTATGAACATCTATTTCTATAATCCTCATTGGAAAAATTAAGCTATGTTGTTGGGTATAGCTTGTCCGTATGTAGCCTAGTAGTTGGTTATAGACTATCCCTCTATGGATGCTTGATCTTTATACTCTCACTCTTCTTCAATAGTGAAGAAAGGATGATCATAATATCACTTGCTATATTGTGGATTTTACAAGTAGACCAGACCTCGTGATCCTTTCTCTTTTCGAATTTTTCACATAAAAATTTGAATATTAATTAAATTTATATAACATAAATGTGAAGAATATATAATTTTGAGAAGATTAATTTAATAAGTAATAAAATGATTAAGGCCTACATCAACCCCCAATTGTTAAAATTTTGAAGGACAATATGCATTTATATCATTCATAATGTTGATAAAGGCCTATAGTAATGGAATCTCCCATACTTCGAAATTTAAAGGACAATATGCCTGCTCCGGTATTGAATACTGCACACGTCAGAAAGCAGATGTGTGATGTATATATCCAAGTAAAGCATGCATACATTAATGGAAAATAAATTGTGATACTATATTGCTAGGGGTGTCCTTTACATGTGGGATTCGAGTCGAATCAGATTTGAATCAGAAATAAATGAATTCATCCGAATCCAATCCGTTTAGCTTTTCAGTTGCTCTAATATTTTTCATGTTGACCCTAAGGGCATCTCCAACCGAACTCCAAACGCTTGAATGACGTCCCTCGCCAGCTCCAGCTGAACGGTAAAACTTTTGCTATTTGGCTGCGGGTCAGTTGCCCGCCAATATTGGCGTTGCATTGTTCATCTCCGCCATTTTTACCTCTCTACCGAACTTGCTGCGGGAATGAAGAGACGACTGTTACCTGCAAAATGGGGAAAACTGGAGTTCGATTGGAGATAGAATCACGGCATTTTGTAGTTTGACAGATTTCTGGCGTGAAAAATGAGATTTTCGATTGGAGATGCTCTAATCTTTATTTTTTGAGTTGCGTCTGGAATTAACACACGTGTATATATATATTGCTATTTGATTAGTTTATAATCATAATGAGTTAATTAATTACTCATCTTAATACCTTTTTTAAAACATATTATCAAATTTTATTCATAATATTTTAATTCAAAATTTTTTATATTAATTAAACACGGAATTAGGCTGGAAAGTTATAGATCTTATTATTTTTATAATATTTTAATTTAATTTGAGAGTATTAAAATATAAAATTCAATTAGTTAGATATACATTTTACAAAATTTGGCCTACCAAAAAAAGGGAAATAGTTGATGAGCTCTTCACCCTTTTTAGGAAAATCATAATGTTAAAAAAATTAATAACACATAATCCTTTGATTAATTACTGTATCAATAAATATTAAAAAAAAAGATGGCATTTTAAACTCTAATTGATCCATTTATAAGATTATGATATAAATAATTATTAAATATTTTTTAAGTATAACACTAATTTAAATTTAATAGAAATAGTTATGTTAGGAAGCCCTTGTTGGGAAATTTCTATACCTAGGCCAATATATTTATAATTATACATTATAAGCTATCTAAAATTAAGCCAATTAAATTCATGATCTATTTATGAATTAATTTATTATTTGACTTATGTAACATCTCAATTAAATTTGTATGAAATTAATTTGTGTAAAAGCCGGATATTTATTTTATTTTAATGATGGGCTGAAATAAAATATTTACACTTAAAGTATAAAAAGGTCGCAATCCTTAGTTTAAGCGGTTAAGTTCTAATTTTCCTCATTTCACATCTTGAGTGAAAAGAAAGGATATCTCACTCTCTTGGAGAACGCCGCTCTAAACTTGGAAAACCGAAAACCTTACTTATGCATTAAAATGGATTCAGGTACGCTTCCGAAAATTCTTCTCGATGATTTGGCATGCCTTTCAGAGAAGATCGAATTATTTTTTTGTCTCCATTAAATCCTAACAGCCCTTTCTTGTTTTTTCTTCAGAACGAATTTTGTATAAATACATAAGAATATTTTTAATAAATTCACCTAATTTTTATAGAACTTGCCAATGTGGACATTCTTCGTTGCGGGAATTATTAGGCTTTATTAATTGGTCTGCAGATTTGAAATTGTCACCGACTCCTCCCTCCAATTCTATATAAACCTCACCCTCACTTGCAACAGAATCAGCCATCAGCATCCCAGACTCTTGAGAGAGAGAAAGAGAGAGAGAGAGAAAGAGAGAGATTCCATGGCCAGGGCCAGCGCTTCCTCCTTCCCTTCCATCCAAACCTGCTCCTCCGACAACCGCCAGGATCAAACCGTCATCTCCGACCTAAATGGAAGCCTACTCCGTTCACCCTCCGCCTTCCCTTACTTCGCCCTGGCAGCCTTCGAAACCGGCGGCCCTCTCCGCCTTCTCTTTCTCCTCTTCCTTTATCCTCTCTCCGCCTTCCTCCACCACTTCGTCTCCGAATCCGCCGGCATCCAAGTTCTCATCTTTGCCTCACTCGCCGGAGCCAAGCTGTCGACAATCGAGTCGGTGGCGCGTGCAGTTCTGTCGAAATTCTATGCGGAGGATTTGCACCCGGAGACGTGGCGGGTGTTGTCGGCGTGTGGCCGGCGGTGCGTGGTGACGACGGAGATTCCGACGGTCATGGTGGAGCCGTTCTTGAAGGAGTATTTGGGGGTTGATGCGGTGGTCGGGACAGAGCTTCGGGTTTATAGGGGAAGGGCTACAGGGCTGGTGCGCGGCGCCGGAGTGCTCGTCGGAGATAAGAAGGCTGAAGCGATTAGCAGATTTTTTGGTGGAGAATCGGTGCCGGAGATTGGGATTGGTGATCAGAAGTCGGATTTCGCATTCCTGAAACTTTGCAAGGTTACAATTACTATAATCTCTTTTTTTTTTAATAAACACGTTAATTTAAAGGAATCTTTAAAATAAAAAATCACGTCGACAATCACTACCCAGTAGCCGCCAAACACGTTGTTGCTAATTGCTATAATCACTGTTGCAATATCAATTCCCACAAAAAAAAAACTGTTGTAATATCCAATAAAAATAAAAAATACAATTTTAAAATATTAAATTTATTTTTTATTAAAATAAAAATAAAATAAATAATTATAAATTATAAAAATAAAAATAGATGCCAAATGACCCGTCAGAAACATGGTCATGATATTGAATTACCACCTAGTCAAGAAGTTTCTGCAAAGATTTTACAGTCAATTATAACAATGGATTTATGAAAAAAAAAAGAAATTCAATAACTTTCTTTTGGATTTTGCATCAAAAGCCCCCTTTAGAGCATCTTCAACCGAACTCTAAATGCTTGTATAGCGTCGCTCGCGAGTTCCAGCCGAACGGTAAAACTTCCGCTATTTGATTACGGGTGAACAGTGGAACACCAATATTAGAGTTGCACTGTTTATCTTCACTATTTTTCTGTCTCTATCAAACTTGCTGAAGAAATGCGCGAAAGAAGAACGACCGTTAACTTCGTAAAAACGGGCAAAATGGAGTTCAATTGGAGATGAATCACTGTATTTTTTAGTTTCATGACATTTTGGAGTGAAAAATGAGATTTTCGTCAGTAAGCTTGATTTTGGAGTAATATTTTGGGCATAAATTTTTATGTATTATTGTCACTCTTTATAATAGAAATATTAATTTTAACACCCATTATCTTAATGAAACAGGAATCTTACATGGTGCCAGCCAACTCAAAACTCCCAGCAGTAAGCTCCGTTGACCTCCCCAAACCAATAATCTTCCACGATGGCCGCCTCGTCCAAAAACCCACCCCGCTCATCGCCCTCCTCACCGTCCTCTACCTCCCCTTCGCCTTCTTCCTATCCCTTCTTCGGATCGTCCTCGGCTGTCTCCTCCCTTGCCACCTTGCTCTCCCTGTCCTCCGTTCCCTTGGCGTCCGCATAGTCATCCATGGCACCCCTCCTCCTCCTCCCTCCAGCTCCTCCAGCGGCGTCCTCTTCATCCTCCCCCACCGCACTCTCCTTGATCCCGTCTTCCTCTCCTTCTCTCTCCGCCGCCCCGTCACCGCCCTCACTTACTCCCTCTCCCGCCTCTCCGAACTCATCTCCCCAATCAACACCGTCCGCCTCACCCGCCACCGTGCCACCGATGCCGCTGCAATAAAAAATCTCTTAAGTCAAGGTGATCTCGCCATCTGTCCTGAAGGAACCACTTGCCGCGAGCCCTTTCTGCTAAGATTCTCCGCTCTGTTTGCTGAATTGACCGACGAAATCGTGCCGGTTGCCATGAATGTTAGGATGAGCATGTTTTACGGAACAACTGCGAGAGGATGGAAAGGATTGGATTCGTTCTACTTCTTTATGAATCCAAGACCGGTTTATGAAGTTAGCTTTTTGAGTAAGTTGGGGAAGGAGCAGACATGTGGAGGTGGAGGGAAGAGTAGCTTTCAAGTGGCCGATCATGTGCAGAGAATGATTGCGATGAAGCTATCGTATGAGTGTACGAGCTTGACAAGAAAAGATAAATATAGGATTTTGGCAGGGACGGACGGAGCGGTGGCGGAGAAGAAGAAGGGGAAGTTGGTCGGCGGAGGAGGGAAGTATGTGGTTCGAGCTGTTTTTTACTTGTGTTCTTTTTGGGAAAAGGTTCCTCGCGGGAGGTTTTGGGTAAAGGTTCCTCGTCTGAGCGTCGGCGAGTAAGGCCAGAAATGTTGATGGTTAGTTTGAACGTAGAGGAGACCATAGGTGTGCAAGGAAGAATGATTTGGAACTTTGCACAACTTGTTGTACTTCCTTTTCTTTTCTTTGTTTGAAATAAGTAAAATAATAAAAGGCTTTTTGTGTATGTTTATGTTTATATAGTTTTCATTAAAATAATGTTATGTATTTTGCTTATTTTTTTTTATGAGATAGTTATTTAAAGAAAATTTACTCTTCATTTGGGACGGCTTTGCTTAAAACAAATTTCTATTACAAAAATTAAAATTTACGTACTAGAAAACTGCTTTAAAAAATATTAAGAAAGCTGTCACAAACAAAACATAAGTCTTAGAATCCAACCTATCAAAATATTCAAATTTATTTTCAATCAATATGCTAATATGCTACCAATTTGAATGCTCAAAAATCTATAGTAACTCATCTAATGTAACTCACATTCCCATAGTCTAAATCAAATAATACATGTATCAATTGATTTTTTTTGCTATTAATATCACTTAAAATAAGTCGTTAACAAAGGGATCGACACATATACTTACAACAATAATAAATGATATTTTAACATTTTAAACTAGAATTAAAATTCTATTAGGAAACATAATATATTTAATATTAAAATGAGATTATTTTCATTGCATGTATAATTGAATTAAGTTTCGTTTGGTACGGAATTAGGTTTCGTTTGAGACGGCTTTCTTAAAGCAACTTTTTAGTAAAAAAATTTAATTTTTTTACTAGAAAGCTACTTTAAGAAGGAATAAAAAAGCCGTCCCAAACAAAGCCTTAATCAAAATATAATCCTTCTATATAACTAAAGAATAAGATTAGATGATATAACTCTATTACTAGAAAAATATTAGACATTCATAAATCTAATCATAACGAAAATATATTGAGAGTGTCTAATAATTTTTAAACTATACACTATGGTTTTGTTTGGGACAGCTTTTTTGTCGTTTTTTAAAATAACTTTTTAGTAAAAAAATTAAATTTTTTACTAAAAATCTGCTTTAAGTAGTAACAAAACCGTCCCAAACTAAACTTAAATAAGCTTTAAAAGCTTCTCTTTCTGAAGAGAAAGTCAGGCTTAAATTGTAGACATGGAGAGAGAAAGAGAGAGAGAGAGAGAGAGATTGGAGTCTTCACATTTTGACAATCTATAAAGTTGCCAGTTGCAGCATACCTCTTGGTCTCCGGTGATCTACTTATCTTCCTTGCATCAGCTTCTTTCTTCATACATTTCAATAAATGCAACCTGGTCCATGTGGCAGCAATATAATGAGTCAACCTCATATAAAATCTCATTGACGCATTAATAGCCAAATATCATTATTGCCGTAAGAACTAAATATTTATGATGAAACTCTTCAATAATTAATAAAAATAACTAAATATTTATGATGAAACTCTTCAATAATTAATATATTTTTATTATTGGTATTATTATTTTTTATTTTAATTTATTATTATTTTATTCTCTTTTTTGTTTTGAAATATAAATGCATAGCTCCAAATATTCCATTAATTATAAAAAAGGCTAAAAAACAGCTCATACCTTCAAGTGGAGAAATTATTCCGTGCGGAGTCCGGATGAAAAATAACCATCCGAATTATGAGTGTAAACAATATGTATATTGTATATGTTATTTATACATAGTGTGTACACTCACAGTCCAGATGATTCTTTTCCATACAGACTCCGCACTGAATAATTTCTCCTTTCAGGTGATAGGCCAACTTGAAAAAAGTTCAGGGATCAAGACTCAGAATAAATAAAATATCAATTTATAGCCAGAATATAACGTTTCTACTATAGAAACTGCAAATCCCGGTCGCCATAAGACCAACCAGGGGCAACAGCATGATCAAAGAGCTTACCCGCCCATAATTGTCCAGAGAGCCTGATAGAATTCCAACATCGTAGCAGCAAATCCTTCACTTCTTGGTGTCTTCTCCCTGTAGAGATTTTACATAAAATGGCATTTCTAATTACAAAATGCCAACTATTTCTTTCACGCCAAACAGAATAAAATACAACAGTAGTAGACAGAGAGTTGTACTAATAGTCATTTCTGTTTGAAGCTGCAATAGTCTTAAGAAATTCAAGCAGTTCTAACATGCTCCATCTCATCAGAAAAACGGAGGTGGAGAGAAGCACATTTTTGAGTATGGTGTAAGAGAAGAGCACAAAAAAAAAAGTGAGAGGTGCTTTCTACGCTTCATTATAACATAAATTGCAATCTTGGTGAGCTGGGATGTTTCTCAGAATAAGAGCATTAGCCATTTTTAAGCTCTTTATTATGGCTATCCAAGTGAAAACAAAAAAATGCAGCGAATAATTCTTGTGCCATACATACATGAACAATATTTGTGTAGGTGTTTATGAAGTGACCAAAAATTGGGTTATCTCTAACCAACTAGCAAACACTTACAATAGCTGAAACAGATGGGAGAGGAATAGTAGAGATGATGGTCGCAGCTTTAGGCTTCGTTTGGGATAAGCTTTCTTACAGCTTCTAAAAACAGTTTTTTAGTATAAAATTTTTAATTTTTATATTAGAAAGTTGTTTTAAGAAGCAATAAGAAAGCCGTCCCAAACAAAACCTTAGTGTGGAGAGGGAATGTCCAGCAATTGTATGAATTATTACATATGGCGATGCATAAGAGTTGAAGGTTGAAAGTCAAACATATGGAAGTGCTCAAATAGGGATTTACCATTATATAATGGGTCCCAGAGGAGGGAGATTTTGTTGCAGTTTGTGGGGTTAAAGAAGAGGTTGGCTTTTGTAATAACTGCAACCAACAAAAGGTGTAGCTTTCCACCATCTAACAACAAATCATACCAAGACCGCCAAATGAGAGAACAATTATAACCATATGTAAGAGAAGCAAGAAAAGGAATGCTCAGGCCCCTCAGGTGTTTAGGCATGCATGTTGAATGCTAGGAGATAAGTTGTAGCTTTCTGGTTTGGGTGTGTGATAGGAAATACTTGAGTTCGCAAGTAACCCTAAGGTAATACTTGAGTTCGCAAGCAACCCTAGTCAAAATCAGCCCAAAACAGTGAGCAAAACTGCTGTCCCAGCAGTTTTACAGCAGCTCCGCAGCAGGAAATGCACCCAAACAGAGAAAAATAAGGAAAAGAAACAAGGTTTCCATTAGTAGATGCAAGAAAACAAAGAAAGATACAACGTCCTTCGATTCGAGAGGAAGAACAACTCTCCACAAGTCTCTAGCAAACCCTAGAGCCCAAGCACACAATGAGATCTCAAACTTTTCATTCAAATTCAAGATGAGGACCTAATTCCCCCCTTTCCCCCTCTTTAACTCTCATCCCCATACAAAATCCCTAAATAGCCCTTCTATTCAAATTTCCCCCCCTTTCCATTCAAATTTTCCCTCCAACCCTTGAATTAACTCCATGTGGGGCCCGCCTAGAGTAAGTAAGGACCGGAGGGGCCCGCCTAACAGTGTGCCCATGAAACAAGAATTTATTTGCAAGCTTGTTGATGAATTTAAAGCAGGACTTTGGTATTATTGCTCCTCTTATCCAAAATGTAGTTGAATTCCATATGATAAATCTTAGGAATTGAAGCCTGCTCGCAAAAGAAAGGGCCTTAGCCTTCCAACCTTGAAGTAACGAGGTAACTTTGGTACTTTGGTTAAGAGAGGTTAAAAGTTAACCACTTTAAGCTTTTTTCACAGAAATAGGAATTCCCAGATAAGTGAAAATAGCAAAGGGCCCGAGGAGATTAAACTGATAGCAAAGTTCCTCTTGGTTGGGGGTGTCTTTTGAAAAGGATATATAACTTTTTGTACAGTTGATGATAAGACCAGAGATTTCTTTGAAATATCTAAAAATATTCAAAAGGGATAGAATATTGGGGATGTTTACTTTTTCAAAAGTTAGAAGATCATCAATATAAAGTAAGTGGGAGACTTAATAATCTCCCTCATTACATTGCAAGACGGAGTATCAGTGGATCTGTCAAAAAGATTGGAGAGGCCACTCGTAGCAATGTAAAATAAATAAAGTGAAAGAGGGCATATTTGCCTTAAACCAAAGTAAGAACTAAAGAACCCCTGATGAGAACCATTAATACATATAAAGAGAAGTGCATATTGTCAATGCAAACTTTGATCCACCTGATGAACATTGGTGGAAAACCCTTTTGATGTAACATGTGAAGAATATATTATCTAAAAACAGCATCAAAGGCCTTATGAATATCAATTTCGACAAAAAAAAAAAAATTAAAAATTTCTCCCTTTTATTTTGATTAAATTTAGAAAAAAAATCTTTGGCCAAAATTATATCATCAGAAGAAATTCTATTTTTTAAGGAAACCAACTTGGCTGGGATGAATGATATGAGGCATGGGAAGTCTAGTGGATATGACCTTGGCAATGATTTTGTAGAAGGTATTGATAAGGGTTGGGCCTTTAGTCAATAAAGGCTGTTGAGTGAGGAGATTTTGGGATTAAGGCTATAGCAGTAGTTCACCATTTTGGAGAGTTAGCTACTCAAGAAAAAATGCTTGACTGCCTTGCAAACATGACAACAAAACATATCCCAAAAGGAAGAGAACCTTAAAGGTAAAGCCATCAGGACCGGATGCAGAGTTCTTGGAGGAGGAGAAAATAACTTTTTTATTTCCTCATCAGTGATAGAGGCTGTAAAGATGGGTATGATGTGAATGGGATTTTTTTCCCCACAGGAGGAAGAAGGGTTTGGCCTCTCTTATGATTGATAGGATTGTAGTGGTGGGTGGTAGCTTCCATAATTTCATGATGGTTAGAGAGGGTCCCCAAAGGAGTAGAGAGCTCTCTAATATTATTATAATTCTTCCTTGCTTTGATCTTACCATGGAGGAACTTGAGGTCATCTTTTTCATTAGAAAGCCATTTGATTTTTCCTCTTTGGGTGACCCAAGAAGACCAAGAGACATTGGATGCCGAAAGGGCAACATTGATGTTTTTTATATGAGCATTGAGAGTAGAATTAAGTGGTTCATATTGAAACCTTTGAAGGTATCGATATTGCTTCTCTTCAAGGAGTTTCATTTTAGCGGTGATGGAGGAGAAAGATATCCATTTTTGTTCTCTGCTCTGTAACTCACATTCTCATAATGTATATCAAACTTAAATTATGGAGGTCAATCTTAGAGTATAAAGGTTTTCGCTTGAGTAGATCTAAAACTGAATAAATGGAATATAATTTTAGTAATAGACCTAGTGAGGGGATTGTGACTTTGGGCGATCAAGTCATTAATAAAATCACACGTTTTAGATATCTTGGATCTATTGTTCAGAGTGATTGTGAAATAAATGGGGATATTATCAACAGAATTCAAGTTGGATGGTTGAAGTGGAGGAATGCATCGGGCTTGTGGTGTGATAAAAAAGTCCCCCTCAAACTTAAGGAAAAATTCTATAGGATGGTGGTGAGACCTGCAATGATTTATAGTGTCGAATGTTGGCCATTAAAAGAGAAGCATAATACTAAGTTAATTGTTACAGAGATGAGGATGCTCAGGTGGATGAGTGGCTTAACCCTTAGAGATAAAGGATATAAAATGAGCATATATGTGAAAAGGTTAGAGTAGCTCTAGTGAAAGATAATATTAGAGAGAGTCGCCTTAGGTGGTTTGGTCACATAAAATGACAGCCTTCCGATGACCCGGTTAGGAAAGTAGAGGTATTAGATTTGACTAATGTTAAAAAAGGTAGAGCTAGAGCAAAAAAGACTTGGTTATAAAATATTAGAAATGATCTATCTTTATTATATTTAAACGAGAATTTAACTTTTAATATGACACAATGAAAAAAAAAGAATTCATTTAGCCGACCCCACATATTGGGACAAAGGCTTGTTATTGTTGTTGTTGATGTTGTTGGCTATTAATAATGCTTAAAATGCGCATTAATAAAAGAATCAATACACATCCTTATAACAATAATAAATGATACTTTAACATTTTAAACTAGAATTAATATCTATTAGGATGCATAATATATTTTGTATTAAAATGAGATTACTTTCATTGCATGTATTATTGATTTAATGGGTCACATATTATCCTTTAATACAACTAAAGAAAATATATAATATATGATATGTGAATTCAATGAACCTTGTAACAAAAGTAATGTCATCCTATACAAAATGTATCAAGCTGTTCTGAAAGATGTTTTTTTTTTTAAAAAAAAACATCACTATTCATGAACCACCTCTTGCAATTATTTTTTAAATCCTATTTTCAATTTACTTAATTTAGATATTTTTTTTTAAAATATTATTCTACCATCAAGTATTACAACAGATATTTGAGAAATTAATTTCTTTAAAAGTATTAAAAAAATATTTAAATCTTTTATAAAATAACAATAAAAAATAGATCAATATTTGAAGTAGCATTAATATACAAAATCACAAATCCAACAAACCTTGTGAATTATTATTAGAATATTAAAGGTCTTAACAAACAGCCGAGAACCTAAAACAAAAGTCAAAGACATCAATATAAAAAGATAATGATTAATAAGAGGAATTTGCAAGCTATAAACAAAGAAATAGTAGATTGTAGATATAATTTATAAACTATACACACTAGATAAGTTTTAAAAGCTATAATATGCTATTTCCGAAGAGAAAGTGAGGCTTAAATTGTAGACATGGAGAGAGAGAGAGAGAGAGATTGGAGTCTTCAAATTTTGACTATTTATAAAGTTGCCACCATACCTCTTGGTCTCCAGTGATCTTCCTTACATCAGCTTCTTTCTCCATACATTTCAACAAATGCAACCTGCTCCATTTGGCAGCAAAATAATAAGTCAACCTCATATAAAATCTCATCTAAACATTAATAGCCAAATATCATTATTGCAGTGTTCGGAACATCTAGGAGGATCAATTTGGTAAGAAGAAACAGGAAAAACTTCCATTAAAATGTCATTAATCAAAACCCGAACCAACTTGATATGAACAAGGTTATCCACCTTGTTGTTTCTATCTCCAAATACTCCAAATATAATTGACGGAGCAGCAAATAGCAAGCTTGAAGGCATTAGAAATAGATTTATTCTTCATTATTCAAAAAAATTATACGAATTTAGGCTAAACTTTCAAAGTTTTGTAGGATATGGGGGACGCTGTGCTTGTCCTTGGCATTCATCTGGCAAATCTACACTCTCTGGCTGCTTGTCCAACTTCACGAATCAGCCACTGGAATCCGCTACAGCAGATATATTCATTTAGCGAAGGATTGCTTTGGTGAGCTTGCTGTTGTTTATAATATTTCCTCCCATTTTTTCACTATTATCCCCACAATAGTTGAAATCTCTAAAAATTGCCCAAGGTTGGGTAATAGAAGTAGCTGGGCTTGTGATGCTATTCCAAGACTGGGTCTAGTGGAGGGAGAGTTGGCTGCATATACTACAGATAGAAGAAACGAGGTAGATGAAGAGCAAGTAATCAGTCCATGGACAAGGTGGCTGTCAGAAAAAAATGACTTGGAAGTTAATATAGCTTGAATTCCATTTTATCAAAATACTATCCGGATGAGAGGAAATGAAATAATCATACTTTGCCTTCATTTTTATAAAGCTTATAAGATTTGCAAAACCATTTATCCTCCAATTGAGCAGAATTAACCTTGGCTTCCAAAATGCAAAATAGTTCTAGGCTATAAGTGCTGATAAGATCTTTGTAGATAAGGACCCTGTCAATCCTTGTGAAAGCCACTTACATTCCAAGATGCAAAAGTTGTGGGAGTCATTACATTTTTGTGGAGTGGGCGGCTTGTTTCTTAGCCTTGTGGTTTTGGATCTTAAGGGATGCAGAGGGGGTGCCTTGATGAGAGACTAGGAATTTTCTAAAGTTGGCCTGGAAAACGTTTTCCATGGTACTTAGGATATTGAATTTATTGGTGGATTGGCTGGAGACTGAGGTTAGATTGGTGGAGGAGGGTTCAATGTTGGTGGATTCATTGGAAGGGCTATTGAGGTTGAGGGATGATTTTTGTTGGCTGGGCGTGATGGTTAGGAAGGTCTCTTCTTGTTCTTCAACAGGGTTGAGACTTTTAAGCATGTGAGAGGGTTGATCAGCATTGTTGGGAAGGATAGGACGGTGATTTTAATGGTTGGGTGCTGAAAAAATTGGCAATTTCAGATGCTGAGAGGGAGGCCAGGGATTTTGATCTAGATTGGTATTGATAAGAACTCGCTTAGGAGAGAAATCAAGTGACCAGTTTTGCAAAATAAATGACTTTCAAAAAAGTAAGAGGGACCACCAGTTCAAAACATTTTGTAGCCTTCTATTAAAAAAAAACTTGAATAAAAAGAAGCCGTCATTCATGGAGAGAAGTTTAAGTATAGCTTTAAGCTTTCAAAATTTCTAAACAAAGCCAAGAAGTGATTCATAGAATGACTGCTTGCCTATATAGTAGCCAAAGAGATATATTTCTTTCCTTGGAACCCTCTTCAACTTCTTCCACAAAGAAATGGATAGTATCATTAGGCGGAGGTGTAGTTCATTGGTAAGTCATAGATGGAAGGATTATTGGTTTCTAATAGGTTTTCGTGTTCATTGAAATCTCAAAAGAGGAGGCATGGATTGCAAGACTGGAGCAATCTTCTAGGTGGGTTTTAGGGTTAGGTTTTTGCTGAGAAGGAGAGGAAAATCTTGATGAGAAGTTCCTAAGAGAAGTATTTTGTGGAGGGAAGCGGGCATATGTTTGTTGAATAGGCTCTCAAGAGTTGAGGAATGAGAGGGTGGTGGCAATTTCATGGAGGGGAAGGGGGAAGACCCACCAGCCAGGCTAGGGCATAGGAGGCGACTCAAAAAATAATTAGGTTTAGAATTTTCGAGAAAGAATCAACATCATAGCCTAATTATTTATATATAAGTATATTTGTAATAGCATTATCAACTAAAAAGTAGCATTTCATGCTTTCTATCAGTATTTTGGCCTTGATCCACCCATGCCTCCATATTCAAGTTCCCGTTCTCGCTCCAAATTTTCTATAGAGATTTATTCTCATCTCTCTCCATTCCTCTCATATTCCACAGCTGCACATATATTCCCTCTCTTCCTTCTATGTTTGAGAGCATCTCATCCCATCACCCTCACTCTCATCTCTCGCAATAATAGCCACATGCCACCAAACACTTCAAACAAATTCCACCCTAAAGCAACATTGTTGCATCTTGTTCTCTCTACAGTGCTAACAAAGACCATTCTCAATCTCTTCCAAATGGATGAACAATTGAAATCATTTTTTAGCATAATTAGCTCATAAAACCTCTTCCCATAAGCTCCAGTTCGAATCCCCCAAATCAAAGTTTTGGCAATCTGATAGGAAATACTTGAGTTCGCAAGTAACCCTAAGGTAATACTTGAGTTCGCAAGCAACCCTAGTCAAAATCAGCCCAAAACAGTGAGCAAAACTGCTGTCCCGACAGTTTTACAGCAGCTCCGCAGCAGGAAATGCACCCAAACAGAGAAAAATAAGGAAAAGAAACAAGGTTTCCACTAGTGGATGCAAGAAAACAAAGAAAGATACAACGTCCTTCGATTCGAGAGAAAGAATAACTCTCCACAAGTCTCTAGCAAACCCTAGAGCCCAAGCACACAATGAGATCTCAAACTTTTCATTCAAATTCAAGATGAGGACCTAATTCCCCCCTTTCCCCCTCTTTAACTCTCATCCCCATACAAAATCCCTAAACAGCCCTTCTATTCAAATTCCCCCCCTTTCCATTCAAATTTTCCCTCCAACCCTTGAATTAACTCCATGTGGGGCCCGCCTAGAGTAAGTAAGGACCGGAGGGGCCCACCTAACATTACTCCCCTCCCAAAGACTCACCTTGTCCTCAAGGTGAAATGAAGGGAATTGATCTTTCATTCTTTCAAATGGCTCCCACGTAGCATCAAATTCGGGGAGCCCTTTCCATGCGATCAACACCTCTTTGTTTCCTTCCTGGTCAAGTCTCACATCTTTCAGCTCCAGAGGTTCTAGGATCACTTCCATCTCCTCAGTTAATGTGGTTGGCAGTTCAACACTGGTTGCATACTCCCCAATGGCTTTTCTCAGCTGTGATACATGAAATACTGGATGTATAGTGGCCGAAGGTGGTAATTTCAAACGGTATGCCACTGCCCCAATTTTATCTAATATCTCATAGGGGCCAAAATACCTTGGGGATAACTTCTCATTTCTTCTGTTGGCCAAGGTCCTCTGTCTGTAGGGCCGTAGTTTTAGAAATACCTTCTCACCTACTTCAAATTGGATATCCCTTCTGTGTGCATCCGCCTGTTTCTTCATGATCTGTTGTGCCCTCATCAGATGTTTCTTCAACTCCTCCAGCATCCTATCCCTTTCTTCCAAATGCTGCTCTACTGAAGATACGGGTGTGCTGCCCCTTCCATAATGCACCAAATGTGGTGGATCTCTTCCATATAGCACTCTAAAAGGGGTCATCCTGGAAGCTGAGTGGTACGAGGTATTGTACCAATACTCTGCCCAGGCCAACCATTTGGCCCATACCCTTGGTGTTTCAGAAGCAAAACACCTTAAGTAAGTTTCCAAGCTCCGATTTACAACCTCTGTTTGCCCGTCTGTTTGCGGATGGTAGGCTGTGCTCCTTTTGAGAATAGTCCCCTGTAACCTGAACAGCTCCTTCCAAAACTGGCTGAGGAACACCTTGTCGCGATCAGACACTATCGACTCTGGAATTCCATGTAATCTAACCACTTCCCTGATGAAAGAAGCCGCCACTGTCACTGCAGTGTAGGGGTGTCGAAGGGGTGTGAAATGTGCATACTTGCTCAGTCTATCAACCACCACCATAATAACAGTGAATCCCTCCGATCGTGGTAGGCCATCCACGAAATCCATGGACACTTCCTCCCATACTCTATTTGGAAGCGACAAGGGCTGTAGTAACCCCCCTGGAGCCATCGCCATATACTTGTTTCTCTGACACACTTCGCACCTCGCCACTGTCTCCTGCACTTGCTTATGCATTCCTTTCCAGTATAATTCTGCGGCCAGCCTCCGGTATGTCTTTTCTACTCCAGAATGACCTCCAATGGCGCTCCCATGAAACTCCTGTAATAGCTGGGGAATGTGGATGGAATTTTGTGGTATCACAAACCTTCCTTGGTTCAACAATCTCCCCCCCTCAAGGGTGTAGCTTGGGTGGCTGCTCTTATCCTTCAATAGATCCAATCGGATCTTCTTCAATTCTTCATCATGCTCACTCTCTCTCTGGATTTCCCCCCAATCCACCATTAGGGGTACCGACATGGTTACCGCCTGTAGCTCTCCCCCACACCTGGATAAGGCATCAGCCGCCTTATTCTCCAACCCTGGTCGGTACTGGATCTCAAAATCGTATCCCAATAGTTTAGACAGCCACCTCTGATGTTCCTCTGTCACCATCCGTTGTTCCAACAGGTATTTCAGGCTCCTCTGATCCGTCCTGACGACAAAATGTCGTCCTAGCAGGGAGGGTCTCCACTTCTGAATTGCCAATACTATTATGGCCATCAATTCCCGTTCATATACAGACTTCAGTCTTGCTCTTGTTGCCAACACCTGACTGAAGTAGGCAATGGGTCTATGCTGCTGCATCAGCACCGCCCCCAACCCATACCCGGATGCGTCTGTCTCCACCACGAACGTCTGACTGAAGTCTGGTAGGGCCAAAACTGGTACCGTGGTCATTGCCTTCTTAAGCTTCTCAAAAGCTTGAGTAGCCGCTTCTCCCCACAAGAAACTATCCTTCTTTAACTGCTCTGTC